GCAATCATAAGGATTCCTGCTCTTGGTCCAAGTGTCCTGAGGGAGGGTGTTGAGGCCCTCCTAGCAAGCGGCTGTCACAGCCCTTGCCCCGCGAGAGTGACCTGGCTGGGAACAACGGCACTCGAGGCGGAGCTTCACCGTGCTGGCACACGCCTGCTTCTCCCCCTTACAGGCAGGCGCGGGTGAGGCCAAACAGCCCGGGTTCACCGATCGCCCAGCGAGACGCCGGCCTCCGTCCTCAGGCCCGGGGAAAACTCCAGCCTCACCAGAAGCTGAGCCCGGAAGCCGCGCGCCGCCACACGCCATGAGCGGCCCCCTGCGGCCGGGCCCAAGCAGTTGGCGGCGGGCGGCCACCGTGGTGCTGGCTGCGGGCTGGACGCTCCCGGTCGCTGCCGCCCCGCCGCGGCCCCCGCCGCCCGCCGAGGGCTTCCGGCTGCTGCTGCTGCTGCGCTCCGCGCGCCAAGGCTTCTTGCCCGGGGCGCACGTCTTCCCGGGTGGGGTGCTGGACGCGGCAGACCGCTCGGCCGACTGGCTGAGCCTCTTCGCGCCGCACCACCGGCCGCCCCGCTTCGGCCTGGGCCCGGCGCCGCCCAAACGCGCCACCTTCCCGGTGCTGCCAGATGCCAGGCCCGGAGCCGCCGACGGGGACGAGGCGGCGCTGCCGGATGACGTTGCCTTCCGCATCTGCGCCATCCGCGAGGCCTTCGAGGAGGCTGGCGTGCTGCTGCTGCGGCCCAGGGGCCCCGGGCCCGCCGCGTCTGAGCTGGGCCGCGCCCTCGCGCCGCCGCCGGCCCTGGCCGACTGGCGCGCCCGCGTCCGCCGAGACCCGCAGCACTTCCTGCGCCTGTGCGCTCACCTAGACTGCACTCCCGACATCTGGGCGCTGCACGACTGGAGCGCCTGGCTCACGCCTTTCACGCAGCGCCGTGGCCGCCGCTTCGAGACCACCTTCTTTCTGTGCTGCTTGTGCGAGCCGCCGCCGGTCTTCCCCGACTTGGTGGAGGTGGTGGACTGCCAGGTAGGCGTCCTCCCGGCGCGGAGTGGGGGCACACTGGAGCTTGGAAATGAGGACCCCACCCCCGGCCGGCGGCCCAGGCCCACCCGGAACCTCCAGATAGGCCGGGCCCAGGGAAGCTAATTCGCTTGCCCAGGGACATACAGCCAGTACGTGACTGAGCGGGCATGGGACCCAGGTGGTCCGGCCCCCGGCCAGCAGGCCAAAGCCATGACCTTGGTGAACTGCTTTCTACTTTCCCCGGCTTCACAGCCCCAGGGCCTCGACGATGTCTCCCCACGCGGTTTCTCCAGCAGGAGGCCAGGGGAGACGCTGGGAGCTCTGCTAGCGGTGATCAGGTGCCAGGCTCCTTCTAAGCGCTTGCCATGCATTAACTCATTTCATCCCCCAGCAGTTTGTTTCCTCATAGTTCAGTCTTTTAAAATTTATTTGAGACTGTTTCATTTGAGACTTGTTTTATGGCCAGGAATATGGTCTACCTTGGTGAATGATCCCTCTGCACTTAAAAAGAATGTGTAGGGCTTCCCTGGTAGTGCAGTGGTTGAGAGTCCGCCTGCCGATGCAGGGGACACGGGTTCGTGCCCCGGTCTGGGAGGATCCCGCGTGCCGCGGAGCGGCTGGGCGCGTGAGCCGTGGCCGCTGGGCCTGCGTGTCCGGAGCCTGTGCTCCGCAACGGGAGAGGCCACGGCAGTGAGAGGTCCGCGTACCGCAAAAAAATAAAAAAAATAAAAAAAGGAATTAGTAGCTTATGTATAAATGTGAAGAGATCTCAGACTGAAATCCAAATTTCCAGCTTCTCTGGCTGGAGTTGAGAAGCAGCTACACCCAAAGACTGCACATGTTTAGCTTCGCCCTGGTCTTCCTCATAAAGCTTAAAAAAAAAAAAAAAAAAAAAGAATGTGTATTCTGCTGTATTTGATGGAGTGTTTGTAGAACTCTCAGTTAGGTTAAGTTCGTTGATAGTGTCCTCAGGTCTTCCATATCATTTACCTGTTCCATCAAGTACTGAGAGAGGAATGCTGAAATCTTCAAAGAATAATTGCGGATTTGTCTTTTTCTGTTTTCAGTTCCATCAGGTTTTGTTTCGTGTATTCTGAAGCTCCCTTGTGAGGTGCAGCATAGGACTATTCAAGCTTGATGGATTGAGCCTTTGATTATGATGAAATATCCTTCTTTATATCTGGCAATGTTCCTTATTCTGAAATCTGAAGTTTACCGTCTGATACTAATACAGCCGCTCAGACTTTCATTTGATTAGCAATAGTATAGTATATCTTTTTCCATTCTTTACTTTTTAATCTGTGTCTTTATATTTAAAGTGTGTTTCCTGTAGGCAGCATATAGTCTTACTTTTTTATGCAATATGAGTTTCTGCCTTTCAGCTGGAGTGTTTAGATCATTTGTATTCAGTGTTATTCTCAATAAGGTTAACTTCAAATCTACCATCTTGCTGTTAGTTTTTTAATCTGTCCCCTCTATTCTTTGAACTGTTTTTCTTCTTTTCCTGACTTCTTTTGGATTAATTGAGTATTTTTAGGACTCTGTTTTGTCTCCATTATTGACTTATTAACTGTTCTTCTTTGTGATTGCTTTAGGGTTTGCAATATACATCTCTCATTTCATGTGTAGTATTAGAACCTTAAAATAATACACTTCCATTTCTCCCCTCCTGTCATTTATGCTTTTGTTGTCATACATTTGACTTTTATTTCTATTATAAACTCTATAATACACTGATTATTTTTGCTTCAAATAGTCAATCTGTTAAAGACTGTGAAAATGAGGGGGAAATGTCTTTTATGTTTACCTGCATATGTACCATTCTTAGCACTCTTCATTACTTTGTGTGGATTTAATCTACATCTGGTATCTTTCTGCCTAAAGAACTACCTCTAATATGTCATGTATTTCAGATCTTCTAAATTTGTTTAGAATGAATGAATCTATATTCATTCTAAACAATGAATCTTCTAAATTTTGTTTGTCTGAAAATACGTTATTTTGCTTTTGGTTTTTGAAAGATATTTTGGCTGGGTATAGAATTGTATGTAGGTTAAAAGTTTGGTTGTTTTTTTTTTTTCTCTCAGTACTTAAAAATGTTGCTTCATTATTTTCTGGTTTGCATAATCTTCTGTTGAGAAGTCTTTTTTTTCTTCCAGTTTTATTGAGATATAATTGACATACAGCACTGTGTAAGTTTAAGGTGACAGCATAATGATTTGACTTACATATCCCATGACATAATTACCACAGTAAGTTTAGTGAACATCCATCATCTCATAGAAAAGTTTGCTTTTAACTCTCTGTTCCTCTGTACGTAATGTGTGTTTGTGTTTTTGGTGTATGTGGCTACTTTAAATATTTCCTCTTAATTATTGGTGTTCAGTAATTTGATTATGATATGCGTGGTTTTCTTTTTGTTTTATTATTTAATTATTTGTTTCTTCAAATATTTTTCACCTCCCTCTGTTTTCTGGGACTCCATGTATGTTGGACTACTTGATAATGTTCCACAGGTCCCTGATGCCTTGTTCATTTTTTTTCAGTCTTTTTTCTTCTCTGCTTTATTTTGAATAGATTTATTGCTATGTTTTCAAATTTTATCCCTTTTCTTTCTTTTTTTTAAAAATAAATTTATTTTATTTATTTATTTTTGGCTGTGTTGGGTCTTTGTTGCTGCATGCAGGCTTTCTCTAGTTGTGGCAAGCGGGGGCTACTCTTCGATGTGGTGCGCGGGCTTCTCATTGCAGTGGTTCTCAACATGGGATGATTTACCCATCCCACCCTCAGGTGCATTTAGCAATGTCAGGAGACATTCTTGGTTGTCACAACTCAGGGACTTCTACTGGCTTCTACTGGGTAGAGCCCAGGGATGCTGCTGAATATCCTTCCACAAAGAATTATCTGGCTTAAAGTGTCAGTACTGCCAAAGTTCAGAAACTGAGGGGCAACAGTGGAATTTAGAGCCAGCGCCACCCCACCCCACCACCACTCTGTGAGTCTGAAGCCCAGGTTTTTTAGTTAGAGGATATTCCTATGTTTTCTCATCTGTAAAATGAGAGTATGCAGGGTTATCCTAAGGATTGGAAATATTTTATGTAAAGTATTTTTGCTCAAAATACTTTTACTGGTAACTAGTAAAACTAGTGTTTTACTAGTGACAAGTAACCAATAAACAATAAGTTATTTAAGTTATTTTAGCCTATGGTCTAGACCAACCTGAACTGATTGAATTAAGTGAGTTAATGGCTATTGTTTAACCCTTTATCTTCATTGTTACCACTGAACTCACATGATACCTTAGAGATTGGGTGGTCCTTTGAGGCCAGAGCTTTGTTTTTCAAAATGTAACCTTGGGGCTTCCCTGGTGGCGCAGTGGTTGAGAGTCTGCCTGCCGATGGAGGGGACGCAGGTTTGTGCCCCGGTCCGGGAAGATCCCACGTGCCGCAGAGCGGCTGGGCCCGTGCGCCATGGCCGCTGAGCCTGCGCGTCCGGAGCACAGCTCCGCAACGTGAGAGGCCCCAACAGTGAGAGGCCTGTGTACCACACACACACACACAAAAAAGTAACCTTGGCCAACTTCAGAAGAATCTAGGGTGCTTATTAAACATAGATTGCTGGGCCCCATAGATTGAAGATTTAACAAGTTTCTCAGGTTTCTCATACAAGCATGTAAACTTTGGGCCTATAGATATTCAAGGCAGTCAATCTCAACTCCCTGGTTTTGGGTGTGAAAGTCAGTTTCCCCAGTGTAAGGAGATATTTAGTAACCCAGTTAAAGAAAGACCTTTTGGGGTTATTTCATATTATTGAATCAGCTCTTTTTATCTAAATGTGTATGGAAGGAAGGCTTGGGAAAGTGGGCAGGTCACAGCAGTGAGGCCACTTAAGTGAAATGGGTAAGTGCTATCTGGTTGATACTGTGCAGTTATTACACTCCTGGGCCAATAGGCTGAGTCACATCTCTTGACCTTCCTGAAAGCTTCTCTTGCTCCGGCCTCTTTATCTTCATTGTAACACATGGCACATATCATGCTACATTTTGTTTGCTGAAGCCCCTATTAGGGCCTGAGAGATCTTTGTCTCATCCACCACCACATCCTCAGTGCCTAGCCAAGGCACCCATTTATGGGAGGAATGAATGGGCACTAAATTCTCAATCTGCTGTCATGAATTTATACTTCAGAGTCTTCCTTTAGGAGTGACCAGAACCACCTTGCCTTCTTAGCATCTTCTGCCTTTTATGCTGAACAATGCTCCCAGGTCAACCCTTTGTGATCTATCCTGGTTTATTTACTAGTTCTCAGGATCAATGTCCCAATAATCAACCTCTGAAGGGGATCAACCCAGCTTTCTTCACCAAATCTTTTCATGTTGTCTTAGAGGAATCTAGCAAGACACATTCATGAATTACTTTTACATTTTCAGTTAGCTCTTAGGTACTGATCTAAGGATCTCGAGTCTTGCGTTGTCTATAGGATAAACTTCAGGAAGCCTTACCTTTGTCTTCTGCAGTGGTCATCTCCATCAGAGGCAACTGAAAGCTTCATATCAAAGGAAATTTGGCTTGCACCTCCACAGTTCTACGAAATAAGAAGACTAGAACACTTTGCCTCTCTCTCTGACTTGTACAAATTTTGTTTGGATCGTGAATTAGAAGGGGTGGAAAGATGGCTGCCGATCACATTATTAACTGCTGATGGAACAATCCAGCTTTTACCAGGTAAATCAGTGAGTTATCAATGTTTTTGTTAGTATTCACATTTAATGCTCTGGGCCGTATGGCAGTATTATCTCACACAGAGACATGAACTACAGTCTCTGTCTTACACACTACAGAGGTACTAATTAAATAAGATCAAGGTCTGTAAGATATTCATAGTATTTATTATAACCAGAAATTCTGGATACATTACTTTATATACACTTATGTAAATATATTTCCTAGACACTGACAAAGTTCTTTCTCTTATATTAGCTCACTTTTTTACATTTTAATTTTAAATTATGCAAACTTGTAAATTGTACTTATTTGATTGAAAGAGAGTTTGTTGGTGGTCAATTGTTGTTGGGCGAGTACAGGATAGAGGTTTTGTAGCCGCTTATGGTGGAGTTTTGTGACCTGTCTCACTTATGGCTGCTTATCTCACTTCTCAGAATTGTGAAAATATTTGTTATTCATCCTACAGTGGGACAGCTTAGCAGTTTTGATGTGTAAATAATAATTTCTGTAATTTAACCTTAAAATGATTAGAGCAGCCCACATTGAAACACCAAAAATATATGGGTATCAAGGCCAACATTAACATTGAATGGGATAAAGAGAGTCATGAATTAGTGTAAAAAATCAGTTCAGGATGAAAAAATACTAGTCATAAATATTTATGTACCCAAAGAAAATTCTTGGCTGGAAAATGGAGAACTGGGGAGGGTAGGGGGGTATTAAAAACACAAGGAATAAATTGAGGTAAGCACAAAAAATTAGGATTTTTTAACAACTATCTCAGTTCCAAACACCTGAAATAGATAAACACTGATTTATATATCACAAATATATTGGAATGTTTTATAAAATAACACTAAAATTAAAATATTATTTTTCAGGAGATGAGATGTACTTAGAAGATTCAAACTATTTAGAAAATCTTATGTCCACTGAAAAAAAGAATGAAGAAATCATGAAAGAAGGCAAGAAATTTCACCGAGTAGTGATGTACAATCGCCATGATTATAACATCCACGTGACAGTTCAGTCAAAGTATAAACATGTTTACCCTAAGAACTATGTAGTGAGTAAGAGCCGTCTGTAGAGAATGGCTTCTTTGTAAGCTGGCCTCCTTGAAGTTGTCCTGATGAAAAATGAGGGTTGACTAGACATGCCTGGACCTTAAGGAACTTTGTGCCTGTAACTTCTAGTACAGTCTTTCATATTTCAAGTGTATTACGGAGCTCTCTTATTTTATTCTTTAAACCTTACAGTATCACACAAGTATAAAGTATTAATGATCTTGTTACCAAAACGAGAAAAAAATTTTCACGAGGGTTTCCACTTCTGTATTGTTTTGTTATCAGAAGTTTAAATAAGATGTTCTACTGTATTGTCTTTTAACTGCATTAGCACTCTGCCTGATGTGCTGGGAGATTGATCCATGAATTCCTTAGAATTTCTGCTGGAATTAATTTAAGGATGTATGATTAGATACGTGGTGAACAGTAGACTGAGGTGACCTTCAAGTGACAGTGTCATTATTTTCTTATGACTTTAGCTTGATGATTAAGAGGTAATTCTGTTTAAAACTAAATGGCGTGAGTTATTAGGTTTACCAGATTGGAAATTAGGTTAGTGACTGTTGTAAAGAAATATGAAGCCATAACAAAAGCCATAATTATTTTTACCTTGGAGGGCTAGTTAACAGAATCCAGAGAGGTTAGAGGGATGTAGAACTATTTATCATTTAATGGTACTTACTAATGGTGTTTGTTTTCAGTGTTTTTAATATGGGTAATTTTTTCACCTCCTCTTAAGAGAATAATGTTTATTGATTAAAGATGGGAAATGGTTTAGACGCCAGTTCATTTTAGATCTTTGACTATATTATGCATTGTACGTTGAATTTCATTTTTCATGAAACGTTCTGGTTTTCCTACCTATAAAATAGAGCTATTGATAATTAAAGTTTATGTGTATTATTTAATCCTACTTAGAGGAATACATCTAGATCAGTGGTTCTCAATCCGGGCACTTTTGCCCTTCAGGGGCATTTGGCAGTGTCTGGATAAATTTGGGTTGTCACAACTTAAGAGTGCGACGCTTCTACCATCTAGTGGCGAGAAGCCAGGGATACAGTTTAATATCCTGCAATGCACAGGACAGCCACCCACAGTGAAGAATTATCTGGCCAAGTTTGAGAACTCTGATCTAGAGGAAAATCTATTGTCTTTGGTAAATGGTTCCAACATGTAAATTTTGGGAGCCACAGATAGAATTAGCATTCAATCTGGCTTCTGAATCTATAGAAGTTCTCCTTACTTTTGGCCTTGGGCATACTATTCTTTCATTCTCACAGAAAACAGAATGTTATAATTGGAAGGACACCATGATCTTGCTGATGCGAAAACTGAGAAACAGATTCACACAGCTAGTTAGTGCCACAGCCAAGAGTAGAACCTGATTCTTTTTCTAGCAAGTGGCATCTGTTGCCTGTCACTAAAAGCAGAGGTCTGAATATGTCTGCCCATCGCATCTTGGTATTACAGTCGCCAAGGAAACCACAACTCAGCCAAGTATTGGATGAAACAATGCTTTCCTCACATAAAGAGGCAGAGCAAGATCAGCTTTTGAATGACCTTCGTAATAATCCAAAACTAGGCTGGCATCTGGCTAATATGTTCTTGTCCTCTCGGTTCTTTGTTAATATAAAACAAGAGTGCCCTATAACATGGAAAATATAATAAGGACTTGAATGTAAGGGGACTTCTTCTCTCCTGGGGGATGATTTGTTGGGGGAGCCCTCATATATGGGCATACGTAGGTCACATTCTTTAAAACGGAAATTGCTTGCCTTCCACTTTCTCTTTTCTCTTCTCACTGGCTGGAAATGGTGGCAACTGGAGCAGCTGCCTTGGACCCAGAGGCAGAAGACAGATGTTAAAGCATAACTGCCTGCCACTTGGATTGCTCACCTCTTGCTTGTTATGTGAAAATGAAAATACACTTCTATTTTATATAAACCACTATATTTTAGGATCTCTTTGTTAAAACAGTTTAGCTTGTTCCCTAATCTATACTTTTCCCTCCTAAGCAGGTTCCCTCAGCGTAGCCTTCCCTGTATCAGAAGGGAAGTTAAGTTACCAGTTACTGAAGCTAAAAATCTGAGTCATTCATGATTCCTCCCTTTCCTTCATTCCAATATCCAGGTGACTAGCAAGTCCTATTGATCTGTTAAACACAATTATCTTGAAACTCCCATCTGCCCACCTCTGCACTGCTATCGCCTTAGTCTAAACCATAGTTGTTTCTTAGCCAACTGTAACAGCTTCAGAGCCAGTCTCTTCATTTTCATTCTTCCCCCTCAAAATGCATTCCTCCTGAAAAAGTGAACTTGACATTGAAACTTAAGTCATGTCCTGTCAGTGCCCTCATTAAAGCCCTTCCATGGCTTTTCCTGACACTTAAACACTAAATTTGTGGTCTACCAGGCCCCACCTTTCTCTCTGATGTCATCATACCCCCCTCTCCCTCTATAATCCCATCAGAAGGGTCTTCTTTCTCTTTCTTGACTGCTCAAAGTTCTTTCCCACCTCAGAACCTTTGCACATACTGTTGCCTTGAGACAAACCTGGATCTCTGAACTGTTTTTGTTCTTGGGTCTCCTTGTTACTGTAGCTTCAGAAAAACAGATATTAAGAACAGAGGTTGGGCATCTAATATGTGGATCATTGGCATGTCTAAATGAAAATTCCAGAACAAATAAATAGAAGAAAAGCATTATTTAGAGAACAAAGTTTTCTTGAGCTGAAGGAAAATATTGATCTTCAGATAAAAAGGTCCTGCTATGGTCAAAGCAAAAATAAGAAAAATTGTTCAATACCTGGATGACATTTTGAATTTCAAAGACAGAGAATGCATAGATTTTCAGGGAGAAAAAGAAAAGATTACTCACAAAGGCACAAAATCTTCTTAGTGTGTATCACACAGTAACATGATAAACTGGACAGCATATATAATATTCTGAGGGGAAAAGGACGTGTGTGGTCAGTAATTTTATATCAACCATGTGTGAAAGCCACAGAAATAGCCCTTGTTTATATATGGGCTCTGAAGATTCCGGAGCTCTGAAAAATTTGATTTGATAGAAATACTATAGATAATTAAAATTTTGATTATTGGAAATAAAAACTTTTGAAGTAGAAATGCATGGTAGAAGTCCTAATGGTGAGTGTGGAAATAAAATACAGGAAGTAAGTATGAATAGTTAAATATGGCTAAAAAGCACTGCAAGTATTAAAAATAATTCAAATTTTAACGTATTTTGTAAAAAAAAAAAAAAAAGTAACTTTCTTACAAAAATAATTTGGTTCAGTAATCCCAGATTATGTTATCATTAACAGGAAGTGGCTATGGGAGGAATAAAAAAAAAAAACATGAAAGGAGGGAATCAATGACTGCAGGTTTGTGATAATACCTGTTTAAGTGTTTTGAAATGCAAAAGTGGCTATTAGAATTTAAAACAGAATGGTCACTTTTCAAATCAGTCAAAAGCAAAGCACAACCCCTAATGTAGAAGATAGAAAATATGAACATGGCAACAAAACAAAAGCTTAGAATAAGACAGTTCAGGTAGGAATAAATATCAACCATGCTGATGCATGAAAATGGGTTAAATTTATTGAATGATAAAGAATCTTAGATTAAATGTTTTTAAACCTAGTTATCTAGAGAAACTTGAAAAAGAAGAATAAGCCAAGCCCAAAGTTAGCAGAAGGAAGGAAATAAAAATAGAAACTTCAGCAAAAATAAATGATATAGAGATAGGAAAACAATAGAAAAGGCTAACAAAACTAAGAGTTGACTCTATGAAAAAATAAAATTGACAAACCATTAGCTAGACTAACCAAGAAAAAAAGAGGATGCAAATCAATAAAACTATAAGTGAAAGAGGAGACATTACAACTGATACCACAGAAATAGAAAGGATCGTAAGAAACTACAATGAACACAGTATGCCAACAAACTGTGCAACCTAGAAGACATGGCTAAATTCCTGGAAACATAGAACCTACCAAAACTGCATCAGTAAGAAATAGAAGATCTGAACAGGCCAATAATAAGTAAGGAGATGGAATCAGTAATTTAAAAACAAAACAAAACAAAACAAAAAAAACAAACCTCCCCAAAAAGAAAAACCCAGGACCAGATGGCTTCACTGGTGAATTTTACCAAACATTTAAAGAATTAATGCCAATCCTCAAACTCTTACAAAATTTGAAGAGGAGGGAACACTCCCAAACTCACAAGGCCAGAATTAGCCTGGTACCAAAGGACACGACAAGAAAAAAAACTACACGCCAATATCCCTGATGAGTACAGATGCAAAAAGTCTAAAGAAAATGCTAGCAAACTGAATTCAGCAGCACATTAAAAGGATCATACACCATGATCAAGTGGGATTCATCCCTGGAATGCAAGGATGGTTCAACACACAAATCAATAAGTGTTCTACATCACATTAATAAAATGAAAGATAAAAATCATATGAGCAACTCAATAGATGTGGAAAAAGTATTTGACAAAATTCAATATCCATTCATGATAAAAAAAAAAAAACGACTTAGTTATAGAAGGAACTCAATAAAAGCCATAGATGACAAGCCCACGGCCAACATCGTGCTCAGTGGTGAAGGGCTGGAAGCTTTTCCTCTAGTATCAGGAATAAGACAAGGGTGTCTACTCTCACCCTTCCTATTCAACATAGTACTAGAAGAAATCAGGCAAGAAAAAGAAGTAAAAGGTATTAGAATTGGAAAGGAAGGAGTAAAATTGTCTCTATTTGCAGAACACATGATTTTATATATTGAAAATCCTAAAAATTCCACTGAAAAACTGTTAGGTCTAATCAACTAATTCAGTAAAGTTGCAGAGTACAAAACATACAAAGATCATTAGCATTTCTATACACTAACAACAAATTATCTGAAAAAGAAACAAAGAAAACAATCCCATTTACAATAGCATCAAAAACAATGAAATACTTAGGACTAAATTTAACTACGGAGGTGAAATATCTCTATCCTGAAAACTATAAACCAT